AGTGATGCTGCAGGACTGGGTTTCGTCTACTCCCGCTCTGAAACTAAATGTTAAGGAATTATTTACGGTGGATTGCTTTTCCTACTAAGGTGGCTGCGTGACCAATGACGGTAGCCTAGCAAAAGAGATAACCGTCCATATTTCCAAGGCTCGAGCAGCATATGTAGGACTAAAACACCTTTGGCGTAGATGCGACGCTTCACTAAAGCTGAAAGGTCGTGTATACTGTGCTAACGTTCGTTCAGTTCTGCTTTATGGTTGTAAGACCTTGAATTTTCGCGTAGAAGATATCCGTCAGCTAGAGGTTTTCGATTATCGGTTTTTAAGCAGTTTAGCTCACGTGGGATGGAGTGAACGGGTTAGTAGCGTGGAGGTAAGCCACCATCTGTTCGGGAGTCTAGCAGGTATAAACCTGCTAGCACCGAATTCAGATTGGCTGGGGCTAGGGGCTGGCTAGGGCACGTATTGCGTATGCCAAGCGATCGACTGCCGCACCGCGCTTTATTCGCTGTATCCGCTCTGGACTGGAGGAAATCGCGTGACATGGAGACGAGGTGTGAAAAATTACACAGCCATTAGATAGTGTAGGTGCCTCTCACCTTCCAGGTTGGGGGTCCGAAAGACTCCACAACCGATTGGTTGTAGACATTGAAGGATATGGCAGCGAATCGACAGCAGTGGCGTTCTTGTTGTCGTTTATTATCAGGCCAGAACGCTTGAAACGGTATGCATATATATAATATTACACACACGTCTGATGCCAAACTGTGTGCTAAACAAATAGTGGTACAATAATCTTTATAAGAAGAGAAACGCTCCACGATTTGCAAGTGGGCCGAATACCTCCTCCCTCGAAGTAGGTCCAATCCCTGTCCACCTTAAATTATACCACTGACCTTGTATGCATCGCGAGTTTGGCGGCGATCAGTGAAGTTCGCCTCACTGTATTTCGCTGTACGATGATGATGATGATGGTATATATATATATATATATATATATAGTGCTCCGTCGAATATTCTTTGTACTTACTCAATTGTTCTCATTTTTTTGCTTTTGTATGTAGGTACTTGATCTTATGTTCGGAACTTTCGGTCATTCTGCCACCAGTTCCTTTCATAAAACTATGAATTTTTTGACTCAAAAAGTCCGTACCATCACTTTGCTATCAAGGATCCCACAGTCTATCATTTACGAACATCGGCATATTCCGGAAAAGACTCCCGAACATCACAACAATCCTGTGGTGGAAAAGCTTCTCAAGGAAGACCTGTGCGGGTATCCACCGTATCAAGCTCGCAAAAGTAATTTAGTTAAGATATTTCAGTGAATGGTTTAATTATGGTATTGTTCAGTCCGTCCCGGGTTCCAAGATGCTATCATGATTCGTGATTACAAGCGGAGGCAGATAGCAGCTCACTTCTCCGATCTACGCATACGTTTGAATGCATTGCGCAAGAACACCATTCTTCCAAATGAGATACGGGTAAGCTAGTCATTGTTCCCATCCTCATTCAAACTCCTCCTCACGTCAGGATTTAGCCAGTCTCCAGATTGCGTCTTTACCCCGAGACAGCCACTGGACTCGCATTCTCAGTCGTTGTGTTGTGACTTCACGACGAAGAGGATGTAAAACGCGTTGGAAAGTATCACGTATTATTTGGCGTAAGTATGCCGATTACAATCATATGTCTGGAGTACTGTGGGCAGCCTGGAGTTCTACTTGCCGTAGCACTCGTCGTCATATGTGTTGGCCACCGGCCAAAGGCATCTCTGTGAATGACTATATCTTCAAGTATCATAATAATCTGGCTGACTAATTGTCCGAAATCGTTAAATCGTGACTAGTTGTACATAGTTCCTTTGTTAGTCGGCGACTTTCAAATGTCAAAAGCAGTATTGTTTTTTATTCAGAATATATACTGTTTGAGGACCACCAGGTTTGGTAATCGATTTGCCTCCTGAGAAGTTGTTCCCTTTATGCTAGTTTTAAAAATGTAATATAATCCGAGTAATATCCATGGATGAACGTGTAAAAATGAGGCAAGAACCATATTTGTTTGTGATCGATTCTCGTCACAATGATGTGAGGAATTTGGCTCGACCAGCATTGCATGCTGGGAAGAGGAAACACCCGGCTTAGTTTTACGACACGGTTTCCAATGACATTGGTGGCCACCTTTTCAGATGGCCTAAAATCTTTTGTTCTTGGAATACGCCCGTAGCAATCACAAGTACGTTACTCGCATAGCATGCAATGTGATTCCCCTAAATGATTCACCAGTGTATCAGCGAGAGTCTCCGAACGCAGCTTTATCAGATCCTCGAGTTGGGTGAAATATCAAATAAATGTAGATGAGGTCAAGTTAACACATGCTCAAGCGAATGGAAATCGAGAATGCCGATTTTAGACACCAAGAGGATTGGACTCTTGCAGTCAATATCCAGCCCTCCGAATGATGATTTAACCTTGATAGGATGACCGGCAGGAAACGAGCAAAGTCAATGCAACTGTTTGTGACGGATCTGACTTATTCGACGGAATATGGTGGCTTCAGTATGGTCGGGGGTAGGTGTCTAGGGTTGCGGCTGGTTACCCTTCCCGTGCACCTCGTGAAATGCCTCCATACGACCGAGCGTCTCGAATAGCCTCTGCTGAGGATGTCCTACGCACTGCCTTCTCATGGCGGAGGTGTTTTCCCACCAAACTGAGAGGACGAACAGCCGACATCCGGGGTTATAACCGGGTTAGTGGACCACTGGTAGTCCTAGGAGAGTTGGCCAAAAACCCTGATTCCTAACCAACCATGAGGAGGCATACGAATCACATACACACCTTTCCGGTTGTGGCAGTGTTCACCGGCTCTATTGGGAACTTTGGAAGTTTGACCCCGTCTAAAGGGCGTATGATCCGATAAACTGGACACCGGGTCCCGATTGGATTGCTTTTTCCACACCACCGCGCTGCCTTGCGGGTCAGGCTTTCGCTAACCAAAGGCTCCGATTGTGGATTCCACAAGATAATTCACCTGCTTTGGCCTGGGCGACCTAGCATTATTTGGCCCACACTTAAATCATGGAACTTTTTTCTTTTTAATAAGGATTATTGTACCATGATTTGCTTGACACCCAGTCTGGATTCAGACTTGTGTGAAACATATACAATATATAGCATGGCGGATTCTTTTTTCTCAGAATAATAGCACATACGGACGGCATCAAAATGACAGGGTCGTGCAATTTGTTCAGTGCGGAACGGAAGCCGAATCAAATCCACGAGAATGAGCGCGCATCGGCTGCGACATTTGGTGGGCCTGGGCGATAAGTAACATGGAACATCAAGGCCAAAGACGTTTGATCTGGTAATGAGTTTAAAATGCGAACCGAGGAGAAAATGAATCCATTTTTTAACATGGCTTCTACGATTGCACTGATGTTTTTCATAACGCTAGAGTTTTTGCGGAAGAAACGCCGCCGGTTGATATTTCTGTTGACACACAGGAAAGATGGCAATATCTGAGGCATCTGTTTCAACCAATAGACTAATCGATGATGGTTACAACAGTACCTTCCAACTCTCTCTCTGTCTCTGAGACCTTCAAAGAACGGTTTGTTTTTCATTGGACGGGAGAATGAATCGTTGCTCATGAGTGAATAAATTTTGTTTGAGAAACGGAGAATAATACGAAAACAGTCCCATGATGTGTCGTTGATATTTGACTTCTTTTGACCGGGGACGATTCCCGAAGAGGTTTACGCCTTTCAGGTTCGGGCCTCATCTGTCCATGAAATACCTCATGGCCGGGCAATGGAATCTCTCTTCACTGTGGACACGCCCGTACTTATTTTCAGTTTGGAGAGAGTTTCTTTCATGATCATTGTTGTCGATACTATATACTGTTATACT